TTGGAAATGCCTGACAAGGAATTCAGGAAAATGATTATAAAATGTATAAAACACTATAGAATGGAGTTGAGAAAAATAAGGAAGAAGTCAGGAAAGTGCTACAGAAACAATCAAATAAGATAGATACAGCATTGGAAACAATTCAAAACCTACAGAAAGAGGTCCAAATGATTAATAATAGAATATCAGAAATGGACAATACACTGAAAGGGCAAAGGAGTAGAATTGAAGAGATAGAAGCCAGAACTAGTGAGCTAGAAGATAAATCTCTCGACACTACTAATATAGAAGAACAAACACAAAAAAGGATAAAAAATCTGAAGAAGGCTTAAGATTCATGTTGGATAACATGAAGAGGAATAACATAAGAATTATTGGCATTCCAGAACAGGAACAATCACACAAATCCACAGAGGAAATAGATGAAGAGCTTCTGGAAGAAAATTTTCCTAACATCCTGAAAAGTGAAAAGATAAGCATTCAAGAAGCTCAACGAACCCCAGGATTGATAGACCCTAAAAGACAATCACCAAGACATATAACAATCAAGCTCTCCAGAATGCGGGACCTTATCCAGAGAAGCAGCAGCACCAGCGATGGAGGCAGAGATGGGGGCATGGAGAGGGGGAGCAGCTGAGGACTCTAGATTCATGGACTAAGAAGAGAAGGACTAAGAGCTGGTGGTCAGGAGCAGACTTGCAGAATGTGCCCTTTGGAGATGTAAATTATTATATGTGCCTGAGTGGTTTTTTATGTTTGTGTGTTTTCTAAAAAGCTAAAGTGGATAGAGAGAAATACTGTTAACTGATAGTGCATGGAGGGGATTATAATCAATGTAATGAAACAAGGTATATGATTTGTTGAATGTAAAACTGATGATGTGCCCTGCAAACTTTCACTCAATCAACAATAAAAACCTTAAAAAAAAAAAATGGAAGGAATACACAGAGTCACTGTACCAAAAAGAATTGGTCAATGCTTTAACATTTCTGGAGGTAGCATATGATCAAGAACTGATGGTATTGAAGGAAGAAGTCCAAGTTGCACTGAAGGCATTAATGAAAAACAAGGTCCCAAGAATTGATGGAATACAAATGGAAATGTTGCAACAAACTGGTACAGTGCTGAGGCCCTCACTCATCTATGCCAAGAAATTTGGAAGATAGCTTACCTGACCAACTGATTGCAAAAGATCCATAGTTATGACCATTCCAAAGAAAGGTGACCTACCTGATTGTGAAAATCATTGAAAAATATCAGTAACATTACATATAAGTAAAATTTTGCTGAAGATAATTTGGAAATAGTTGCACCTGTACATTGACAGGGAGCTTCCAGAATTTCAAGCTGGATTCAGAATAGTATGTGGAATGAGGGATATCATTGCTGACATCAGATGGATCTTGGCTGAAAGTAGAGAAAGTACTCAATCCACTCAATCTGGTACTTATTGTGGAGAAAGTACCAGAAAGATGTTACTAGTGTTTTATTGACTATGCAAAGACATTCAACTGTGTGGATCATAACAAACCATGGATAGCACTGTGAAAAATAAGTATTTCAGAACACTTAAATGTGCTCATGAAGAATTAGTACACAGACCAAGAGGCAGTCATTTAAACAGAACAAGTGGATACTGAATGATTAAAAATCAGGAAAGGTGTATGCCAGGGCTGTATACAATCACCATACTTATTCAGTCTGTATGTTGGGCAAATAATCCAGAAAGCTAGATAATATGAAGAAAAATGTGGCATCAAGATTGGAGGAAAGGGAGCCATCAAGTGCCTTCAGGACAAACTCCTTTTCAAGACTGAAAACCAAAGGGAGCACCAAAGCAGACTCCTACGATTGCTGGTGACTTAGTGGAAAGTGGGGAAAGGCAGTAATGAAGACATGGTCTCAGCTTGACCATGTTCCATAGACTCCTGTGACCTTGAGATGAGAGTGAGAAGAGGAAAGGCTGGTTGATTTGGAGAGACTTGGGAACCCTAAGCCATTGAGGGAGCTAGAGCTGAAAGTGAACTATCCAGCTGATATAAAGTAGGAGGAAGTATGCAAGAATGCCAAAACTTGCAGATGGTACCCATTTGACCTAGTTTGGACGACTTGATGATCAGAATTCAACTAGAGGAAGATAAAGGAATTTGAAACAGGAAGCAAGTATAAATTGGTACAATTTGATAAATTTGACAAAATAACAACTGAGAGGGAAGGAGTCTTCAAATCAAGGATCAATACTATCCCTTCGGTATACAGGGTTGATAGGAACGGGCAACTTAGAATTTGGCTACCTAAAATGGGGGCACTGTAAAAGCATGAAGTGTCTGGCTTACAAGTTTTCAAAAGGGAATTTAGTTTCACAGTGTGTGGGGGAAGGTAGAATCCCCACGGAATAGTTTTCATCTTGTCTAAATCGGTCTAGAGAAAAGAAATGGGGATAGGATTTTTTGATTCAATAGTGAGTAACTTATTATGACTAATTGCGATTGTCACAACTGTAAAGGTAGAAGTTTTGTAACATAAACTAGGGAGTAGTTAATCTTACATCCCAGGAACAGAGGACCCTAGGACCATCAAGCGAGAAGAGCAGGAGTGGAATAAGATCCTAACCAGAGAAGCAGAGACTCCGGAGATGAAGGCAGAGGTGATGGCATGGAGAGAAAGAGCAGCTGAGGACTCTAGACTCATGGAAAGAGAAAGGCTGTGTGCTGAAGGGTGAGGGGCTGGTCTGAAAAATGTGTCCTTTCATTGTTTAAATGATTAGATATTCCTGCATGTTTTTGTGTACCTTGAAAAAAAAAAATAGAAGAAGAAGGAATAGAGGAAAATATAGTGAACCAATGGCATATGGAGGGGATTGTAATCATTGCAATGAAACATGATGCAATTAGTTGAGTGCAAAACTGATGTTCTGCCATGTAGAGTATAACGCAATTCACAATAAAAGCTTAAAAAAAAAAAAAGGAATTAGAGGTAAATACTGTTAACTGATGGTACATGGAGGGGATTGCAATCATTGTGATGAAATGACAAATGACGTGTGTGATTTGTTGAATGTAAAACTAATGATCTGCTCTGTAAAACTTCACTCAATTCACAATAAAGAGTTTTTTTAAATAATAAAAAAAAAGATTGGAGGAAAACTCATTAACAACCTGCCATACACAGATGATATAACCTTGTTTGCTGGAAGCAAAGAGGACTAAAAGTACTTACTGATGAAAATCAAAGACTACAGCCTTCAGTATGGATTGCACCTCAATATAAAGAAAACAAAAATCTTCACAACTGGATCAATAACATGATAAACAGAGAAAAGATTGAAGTTGTCAGAAACTTAATTTTGCTTAGTTTCATAATCAACACTCATGGAAGCAGCAATCAAGAAATCAAAAGGCATATTTCATTGGACAAATGTTCTGCAAAAGGCCTCTTTAAAGTGTTAAAAAGAAAAGATATCACTTTGAGGACTAAGGGGCACCTAACCCAAGCAGCAGCATTTTTAATCACCTCATATGTGAACGCTGGACAATGAATAAGGAAGACTTTAGAATCAATGCATTTGAATAATGGTGTTGGTGAAGAATATTGAAAATACCATCGACTGCCAGATGATCAAATAAATCTATCTTGGAAGAAGTATAGCCAGAATAGTCCTTAGAAGTAGAGATGGTGAGACTTCATCTCTCTTTCTTTGGCCATGTTAGGGGGGACTAGTCCCTGGAGAAGGACATCATGCTTGATTAAGTGGGGGATTAACAAAAAAGAAGACTCCCAACAAGATGGATTGACACCGTGGCAGCAACAATGGTCTCAAACATAATAGTTGTGAGGATCAGGCAGTGTTTCACTCTGTTATTGTGCATAGGGTCACTACGAATTGGAATCAACTAAAGGACTTCTGGTATGGCACTGTGGATCAGCACTGGACTGTGAATCACAAAGTTGGCAGTTCAACCCACCAGTTGCTCCTTGGAAACCCTATACAGACTCGCTGTGAGTCGGAACCAATGCTACAGCATTTAACAACAAAGGGCACCTTACTACAACAGCCTATCAGTACAACTTATCAACAGAATTCACATCTTTATGATAATGAATCTTCTTGTCTGAGAACACAGTTCCTTTCTATATGTTCAAGTTTTTAAAACATTTTTATTCCTCAGTAATGTTTAAAGTTTCATCATATACATCTTATATATTTTTTGTAAGCATATCAACATTCCTATATATTATCCTCTTTGTAGTCATTATGAACAGTAGATTCTTTCATTAGTCTATTACCTTCTTAGACTCATTTGCAGAAAATCAGTGTGGGCTGACTCTGGGAACTCTTATACACTAACAATGACTTTTTTTCTGGTATAATCATAAATAATAGGGATAGTAAACTTATGATTTGAAATTCACTTATTTCTATGGGGAACTAACTAGCATGTATTGAGAACATAATACATACCAGGCAATCTGATGATGTTTTATATATTATATATAATATGCGTATGAAGCAGATGTCATTATTCTTATTTTACGGATCAAAATACAGAAGTCCAAGGTCACAGAGGCAATATATCTTTCAGACTTTAAAACCACTGTTTTCTACCATAACCCAGAAGGAGCCACAGTAAGCAGTGGACTGGTTTTTGTTCACTATAATTTTCATTCTCAGTTGACAATAAGGGAGCCCTGGTGGCACTGTGGGATAAGCACTGGGTTGCTAACTGTAAGGTTGGCAGTTCAAACCCACCAGCTGCTCTGCCCCATAAGGATTTAGTCTTAGAAATGCTATTTAGAGTCACTGTGAGTCAGAATTGACTTTATGGCAATGGATTGGATTGCTAACAATACACCTTATTTACTTAAATTTGTTATTTATTTTTTGGCAGATCAAATTCATTATAATGACTATTTCTTAAATAATTAAGGCAGTACACATCTTTGCTGAAATACAGAAAACACAACCACCCAAATAACCTCTAGATTCCATGTGTACTTTTTCACACTTTCACTATGGCTTTTCCCAAATTGTCTCCTTTCAGCATTCCTATAAATGCAGCTGGCATGTTTTCAAATCCTTCTGTGATGTATTCATGGTATTGGATTTTACCCTGTGTCAAAGCAACAACAAATAAGACAGGTTAATTATATATTCCAAATAATACAGCCTTCTCATTCTAGCAACTAATATTTATGAGGTACAATTATGCAAGATTTGAAAATATAAACTTGAGGTCCTATCTCAAATAAATTTATGTTCAATTTGGGAATAAACATACACTTGTATGTCATAGATTACAAAATACACCCCAGAGAAATTGAGTAATAGGTATCAGATCATGTTGTTGTTGTTAAGTGCCGTTGAGTCGGTTTCGACCCATAACGACCCTGTACAGGGTTTCCAAGGGTGTAAATCTTTATGGGAGTAGAAAGCCTCATCTTTCTCCCGCGGAGCAGCTGGTAGTTTCGAACCGCTGACCTTAATCAGATCATAGTCTAGCAATAAGAGAAATGCCAGGAAGTAGTGACTAAATCATTGCTAAGTAAGTTGCATGTTGTTATTGTTGTTAAGTGCCATTGAGCCAGTTCTGACTCACAGTGACTCTGTGTAGGATTTCTAAGGAGTAGCTGGTGAGTTTGAACTGCCAACCTTTTGGTTCAAACCGACTTTGTAGTACAGTGCATTATCCTGCATCGCCACACCAAGTAAGTTGCATGGTAAAGTATAATAATATAAGAATCTCAGAGGAGGCGGAAATAGATGGAGACAAGAGCACCCTTCCTATAGATTATTTGTTTTATTAATAAGTTCTTATAGCCCAGTGATGTAGCACTGTTATCTCTATTTGACACCTGACGAGGCAGGATCTGTCCAGGAAGCACAGGTACCATGGCTAGTGAATTCTTTTAATATGTGTTTAGCATTCATTTAGTTGTGTGGGAGGGAAGGCCTCATTTTAGTGAGGAAAGGTTTTTCTTTGTCTTTCTCCTTCAAAGCACAGTCTACTACATGGAGCCAATTTACATTTTCAAGTTTTTTTTTAATAAGTGTTCTGATGTAGAGTCCTGGTATGGCACTGTAGGATAAGCAATAGACCACAAGGTCAGTTTGAACTATAAAGTCAGTGGTTCAAACTCACCAGCTGCTCCTTGGGAACCCTATACAGGGTTGTTATGGATAGAAACTGACTCAACAGCTCTTAACAACAGAAACAATATGTAGAAACCTAAATGATCTGATACCATTTTCTCCTAATTTATTCTAGTGAAATTTTTGCATTCTTTATGAGATTGCAAGAGGAGATTATTTACTTGAGGTCACTTATCTAGTAAGTAGGGAAGCTGGGATTTGAGCATTTGACTAATAAGTTTCCTTGCTCCTCCTCTGGAAGAGGTAAAGAACGTGGAAAGGGTGGGAATCTATAATCTAGTTCAAAGGCTAAAAATAGGATGAATAGTAATATCAAGAGGTTAATAGGAGAATTTATGCAGGTATACGGAAACTCTACTATTTCAGATTCTAAAGAATTTGAAGTAGACATCAGAATTTCTTGACTGATTAGATGTGGGGTATGAAAGAAACAAAAAACAAAGACAATTCCAAGATGGGTAGGATATCCGTATTTGAGAAGGTTTAGCCAGAAATAAACCATATTTTTTCTTTGACATGTTAAGTCTGAGATGTGTATTAGGCATCTAAGAGCAGCTATTGAGTAAGCAGTTGAATAGACAAATGTAGAGTTCAGGAAACTGGTATAGACTAGAGATAGAAATTTGGGAGTTTTCAGTATATTGATGGTATTTAAAGGCCTGAGCCTAGATGAATTAATTAAAGGAAAGAGTGTGCATAGAGAAGAAAAGAGCTTCAATGATGGTAATGCTAATGAACATGTGACAATAGGGTGATTATGTTTGTCAAATACCGTCCATTATCAAGTAATCCTGAGGATTTACCATTTGATTTTTCATGAAGAACATTGATGAGCATGACAAAGCAATTTTGGTGCAGTGGCCCCAAAACCAAACCCACAGCCATTGAGTTGATTCCAACTCACAGTGATTTATAGGCTAGAGTAGAACTGCTCTTTAGGGTTTCTGAGATCATAAATCCTTATAGGAGCAAGTAACCTCAACTTTCTTCTGGGGAGCAGCAGTTAGCAGCCACTATGCCACCAAGGGGATAAAAATCTGATAAGTGGGCTCAAGAAAGAATGGATGGAAGAGGAATAGCAGACACTGGACAAGCAAAACTCTGCCAGGAATTTTGTTATAAAAGGGGAAGCAGTGAAGTGGACCTGTCTTTGCAGTGGAAATGAGATCTGGAGATTTGTTTTTTGTTTTGCTTTGCTTTTCCTCTTTTAAGATGAGAGAAGTAGAGTGTCTACTAAAGGCAGTGATCTGACAGATTGCAGAAAACTGACGATGCAGCAGAAAGAGGGAAGAACTGGTGGGATGACAGACAGTCTTAGTGCAAAAGAGAACGGGGATCACGTGCTTAAGTGGAGGGGTTAGTCCCATACTCCATTACCTCGGAGACCCATTTCAGCAAATCTTCCAAAGCCTTCTGGCGTACATTGCCTTGCCAGCGGGTAACTATGAAGCCTTCCATGCGGAGTTCCTGATAGATGATAATTTCTGGGGGTGGACCTGTGAGGAGGAGCACAGATTTAGGCCACAGGGTCAGGGAAGTAGATGCGGTGAAAACACAGGCAGCACAATTTACCATCACTGTTCACTTAGTGTGTCCTCCTTCATTTCGTCACTTCTTTCTCATCCATGGGGATGCTGACTAATCAGCATGCATTTTGTGGGAAGCAGAATAATGCCCCACTTCCCCCAAGATGGCCATGTCCCATCTCCAAAATATAGAAATATATTACCTTATATGGCAAAAAAAATACTTTCCTGGTGTGATTAAGGGAAGGATTTTGATATGGGGAGATTATCCTGGATTATCTGTGTGGGCTCAACGTAATCACAAGGGTCCTTATAAGGAAAAGAGACAGGGAGGAAAGTCAGTCAGAGCAGATGTGATGATTTCAGCAGAGGTCAGAAAGAGAGTGAGAAATATTTGAAGATCCTATACTGCTGGCTTTGAAGATGCTGGAAGGGACCTCATGCCCAGGAATGGCACGTGGCTTCTAGAAGTTGGAAGAAGCAAGAAAATAAAGTTTTCTTCTAGAGCCATCAAAAGGAACGCAGCCCTGCTTACCCAATTTAGATTTTCTTTTTCCATTTTAGACTTTTGACCTCCAGAATTGTAAGATAATAAATTTTGTTGTCTTAAACCACTACCATTTGTGGTAGTGATAGGAAGGAGTCCTGGTGTGGCTCTATGGGCTAATGCATCAGACTGCAAAGTCGTTTGAACTGTAAGGTTCAAGCTCACCAGGTGCTCCTTGGAAACCCTATACAGGGTCGCTAATGAGTCGGAATTGACTAACTGGCACTTAACAACAACAACAGTGATAGGAAACTAATATACACTCTGAATCTTTGCACAGACCAGGCAGGCCACAAGTGTTCATTCCTCACCTGTCAGGATCAAGACCTACCAGCAACTTGCCAAACAGTTTTGTGGAACAGAGCAAGACCTTGAAGGTAAACAGGGTAAGTTTTTGTTGCTACTATAGGAGGAATTCTTGATAGTTACCATGTTCTGCCTATGGCTTAATGAAATCATTCTGTGACATAAACTCATTTTCTTCTGTTCTATACTTAAAGGAGATGCAAGAGTCAGTAAGAGGAACTAGATCAAGAGACTCAGTAACTCCCACACCTGCTTGCTCTTAACCATTTCAGTAGATCGAGAGCTAGCCTGAATATGGATTCAATGCTAGCATATCAGAATCATCTGGAGGACTTGTGAATGTAGTTGCTGCACCTGTCTCCTAATTTCAGATGTAATAGATCTGGGGTGGGGCCTAAGCATTTCAATTTCTAACAAATTCCCAGAAAATGGTGGTGTTATTCTGGGGCTACACTTTGAAAATCACTGGCCTACAGAACACAGCAAGATGATTATCAAATCACTGCGCCGACAAAGAAGGTATTCTTGTGTAAGTGGCTGTATTGGTTGGCTGGTCTATTGTCCCAAGAATCAGACGTAATCAGGAACTGAGGAAACGATACTTCAGCACAGCCCGATACGTTCCAGGAAGTCAGGGGAAGATGCCTAGGTATTGTCAGAGCCGAAAGTGACAAAAAGAGGAGCAGCATCTCAGTGTTCTTAATGGTGGTGGTGTGCTGTGGAGTCAGTTCCACCTCACAGTGACCCTGCATAGGGTTTCCAAGGCTGTAAATCTTCCTGGGAGCAGAAAGTCTCATCTTTTCTCCTGCAGAATGGTTGGTAGTTTCAAACTGCTGACCTTAAGGTTAGCAGCCTGACTCATAACCACTATGCTACCAGAGCTCCTACAGTGTTCTTCATAGCTGATATCATTTAAGCCTCAAGTTCCCACTCTCTATTTGCAACAAAATGATGTTTTGTTGTTGTTGTTAAGTGCTGTTGAATTGGTTCTGACTCATAGCAACCCTATATAGGGTTTCTGAGGAGCAGTAGTTAGCAGTCCAGTGCTTATACTATAGTGCCACACCAGGACTCCAAAATAACACTGTTGTTGTTGTTACATTCCTACTCATAGTGACCCTGTACAAGGTTTTCAAGGAGTGACTGGTGGGTTTCAACTGCAGTATAGTGCTTATCCTACGTTTTTTTCTGGAACCGAAACTGATGATGCTCAGGACAGACACGTGAGACAAAGACTGACATACAATAGTGACACCCCAAATGCTAGACTGGTCTTGCACACAGAGTGCTTCTATAGAAGACACTTCCAACCACCTTTTTTTTTTTTAATGACTTAAAGATTGGAATCCTCTTTTCCTCATTGTGTAAGAGGATAAAATACTATTTCTGGACGTCCATCTTGATGGTAATATTGGTTTCTTTATTGATGGCAAAAAGCAAATGTGGATTAAAGTTCCAGTAAACAAAACCTGTCTTTGAGTTATCCTAACATTGAAACTCATTGGAATTTCTGAAGATGAGAGACTAACTCCTATGATTAAAATAGAACAGACAAGGCCAGGTGATCTGAAGACCTATCTGAGCAGCGAGTTTTCCAGACATAACTGCTAAAAAGATGAGATCAAGGTGCTGTAGCTAAAATGTTTGGCTGTAGCTAATTGGACTGTGGTGAAGCAAACACTTCCTGGAGCTTTGCTTAGGTGTCAGGCAGCCATGATTCTAGCTTAGTATCACTGAGAAAAAAATAGAGGGAAAAAGGCCCTAATAGTAGGATTGTCAAGTAAAACTGGAGTTTTCCTCTTGCAAAAAGGTAGTGTCTTTGATTTCTCACCACCCATGAAGGGCCTATCAGTTGCCCTTCCTCAGCCCCTTTCACTTGTCTCCCCATGCTGGCCATGGTGTTAACTAACTGGGCTGTAAAGTTTCATTTCCTGGAATTAAAGTCCCTCATAAAATGAATACCAATTTATTTATGGTTGCCTAGATCCTGATTGGAGTCCTGGTGTGGCACTTCAGGATAATTCACTGGACCTCAAGTTTGGTTTGAACTCAAGATCCGCTGTTCAAACCCACCAGCGGCTCCTTGGAAACCCTATACTGGGTTTGAGTCAGAACCAACTCTACCGCACTTAACAACAACAAGATACTGAGTATAGTCTGAAAAATTCTTTTTTTGTTGTTATTACTTCTTCTTTGGGGGCCACAGATAAACCTGTAATCTCACCTTTAGCACATCTCAGTATTGGGAGGTCAGAAGACCTGTATTTATTTTGAGTCAACCCCTAGCAGGATTTAAAGAGTCTCTGGTCTTCTAGCCATTTTTAATCTCCCTTCCTGAAAAATGAGAGGTCTACCCAACTCAACAACGCTTAACAACAACATACGTCTCAAAACATTGGGATTTAATGAGTGTAGTTCTCTAGTTGTTACTGCCTTTGGCTTTTGTGTGTGAGGAGAAAGGAAAGGGCAGTCTCATCATAAGAGCGTGGAGAAGTGAAGCATCTAGCAGCACTGGGACATAGGAGAGCCAAATGTTCACTGAAACACACAAGCAAAGGGCTATACCAGAGTGGAAGGGAAATGCATGCTCCTTTTGCTCTTGGTGGAAACCAGGTTTGGTGAGGTTGGAGTATCCTGCAGCTCTAAGAAGCAAAGACTAACAACCGAGACTAAAGGACATGACAGCTCACCCTTCCTTTCACCCACAACAAGTCATCCTCTACCCCCTATACCTCTAGTAATTTCCTGAATATACTGAAGAATCCTAATATTTGACCAGCCAACCTAAGATATTCGGTTTCTAAATCTATCTTTTTGTAATTTTCTAGAAAACAATAGGCAAAAAACTAAAATGTTAATAACTGTAAGTTTTCTTCCATATTTTTGGAGAGCGTGGTAACTCTACATTAAACCTTAATATAAACTGATTTAACACAAAATAAAATTATTATGTTTTAATAAATGCAGTTTCAGCATATTTCATCAAGAATATTGGAGGATGTTTCTATTTTTTTTGGTTTTTCAATATCGTCATTAGCAGTTGTCTTACTTGATCCACATAGTCAGTGGCAGAGTTCATTGTTGCCTTAGAAGTTAAGTCAGACAACTGTATAACTTTAACCTTTCTAATATTTTCGTAGTCACTGGCCCATACCATATCTGTGAATTTTTTCTTTGCCCCGATTTTCTACATCTCTGATCATGTACATGAGCTCATTACCTGGGGGACGTGGACGAGTAATGTTATATGTAGAAATGGCTCCACACATAGCAATTTTTCCAAATTTCTTCATCTGGGGGATAACCGTGTTTGAAAACTCTCCACCTACCTAAACAGGAACCAAAAAACAAAACAACAACAACAACAACAAACATGAACTTAAAATAAGGTAAACACTACAGGATTCAGGGGAATCATTAAGTCACAATTTTAATTTCATAATACCTGTTTTAGCAGCAAGAAACAGATTGAACTAGCATAATAGTCCAGAAAATTGCAGTTAGGAAGCAAGCATTAGGAACTGGGCATTTCTATTTAACTCTGAGAATGTACCTTCTATAGCATAAATTTTGTTTTATTATATACTGGGGTTCTTTGATTAACCCAATAATCTCATTGCCTTATAATTAAAAAATATGGAAAAATACTCATGAGGCATATGAAGAGCAAAGGTGGAGAACTCATATTTTCTGATGTCAAAATGTATAAATGAAACTGAGTTGAGAGTCTAGAGATAAACCCTGACATTAATGGTCAACTGGTTTTCGACAGGGGTACCAAAGTAACTCAATTTAGTAAAGGAATACTAGTAGTCTTTTCAACAAATGGTACAGAACAACTGGGTATCCACACAGAAAAGAATGAAATTAGATTCCTTCCTTACACAGTACCCAAAAATGAACTCAAATGGATCTTGTAGGTTTAAATGTAAGTACTATAAAACAATAAAACTCTTGAAAGAAAAATCTTAAACTCTTAGAAGAAAACATAAGCATAAATCTTCATGATCTGGGATAACACATAACACTAAAACTCAAGCAACAAAAGAAAAATAGATACATAAGACTTTGTGAAGAATTTGAACAGACACTTCTCCAAAGGCGATATGTAAATGACTAATGATAACATGAAAAGATATTTAACATCAGTATCCAGTCAGCTTCAACTCACAGCAACCCTGTAGAGGGTTATTTGTGGAGTGGCTCATGTGTTTGAAGCATTGACCTTTTGGTTGGCAGTACAGTGCTTATCCTAAAGTGCCACATGCAAATCAAAACCACAATAAAATATCACTTCAACTCTAGGATTATGGCTATAAACAAAAAGACCAGTAATAAGTGTTAGTGAAGGTTTGAAAAAACTAGAGCCCTGATCCATTGCTAGTGGAAATGTAAAATACCGCACCCACTGTGCAAAAACAGTTTGGCAGTTCTTCCAAATAGCAAACATGATTTACCATGTGACCCAATTCCCAAGAGAAATAAACATATAAGTGCTCATAAAAACTTGCAAACAAATATTCATAGCAGCATTATATGAGGGAGTTTCAAAAAGTTTGTGGAAAAGTAGAATTAAAAGATAATAGAATTTTCCATGAACTTTTTGAAGCCCTTTCATACATACTAACCAAAAAGTATAAACAACTCAAATGCCCATCAATGAGTGAATGGATAAATAAAATGGAGTATACAGAACATGGAACACAGAATGGTTTAAAATTAAGAAATGTGTGTGACAGGGTTGTATTTTTTCACCATACTTATTCAACCTGTATGCTGAGCAAATAATCCAAGAAGCTGGGTTCTATGAAGAAAAACGTGGCATCAGGATTGGAAGACTCATTGTTGTTGTTGTTGTTGTTTATGCTGTCGAGTCGATTCCGACCCATAGTGACCCTGTATAGGGTTTCCAAGGAGCAGCTGGTGAGCTTGAACCACCAACCTTGCAGTTCAAATGTGTGGTGCTGTGGAAGACTCATTAATAACCTGCAATATGCAGATGATACAACCTTGCCTGCTGAAAGTGAGGAGGATTTAAAGTATTTACTGATGTAGATCAAAGAGCACAGCCTTTGGTATGGCTTGCATCTCAATGTAAAGAAAACAAAAATCCTCACCACTGGACCAATAAACAACATTCTTATCTTGAAGTTGTCAATGATGTCATTCTTCTTGGATCAATCATCAACCCTATGGAAGAAGCAGTCAAGAAATTAGATGACATATTGCATTAGGCAAATCTGCTGCACAAGACATCTTTAAAGTATTGAAGAGCAAAGACATCAGCTTGAGGACTAAGGTGCGCCTGAGCCAAGCCATGGTATTTTCAATAACCTCACATGCATGCGAAAGCTGGATAGTGAATAAGGAAGACCACAGAATTGATGCTTTGGAGTTATGGTGCTGGAGGAGAATATGGAAAGTGCCATGGGTTGCCAAAAGAACCAACAGATCTGTGTTGGAAGAAGTGCAGCCAGAGTGCTCCTTGGAGGCCAGGATGGCCAAACTTCATGTCTCATACTTTGGACATATTGTCAGAAGGGACCAATCTCTGGAGAAGGCTATCATGTTTGGTAAGGTGGAAGGTCAGAGGAAAAGAGGAAGATCCGCAGCGAGATGGATTAGCAAAATGGCAGCATCAATGAGTTCAAGCATGGCAACAATTGTGAGGTTGGCCCAGGAACGGGCAGTGTTTTGTTCTGTTGTATATAGGGTCTCTAGGAGTCAGTACCGACTTGATGGCACCTAACAACAAAAACACCCATATAATAGAATGCTATTTGGCCATAAAATGGAGCAAGGTATTGATATATGGTATAATACAAATGAAACTTAAACATAGGCTAAGTTTAAGAAGTCAGTTACAAAAGAACTTAAGGGGGAAATGGGACGTTACTGATAGTGGGTACAACGTTGCTCTTTCTAATGATGAAAATGTTTCCAAATTGATTATGGGAATGGTTGTACAACTCTGTGGATACACTGGAAACCTCTGAGTTATATACTTTAAGCAGATGAAGTATAGAGTATATAAAGTAGATCAGTAGAAAAAAAGGCATATGGACTTTCCCAAATTTTAGATGGAAACACCATACTTTGTTAATAAGCCAGGCATAAAGAAAAATGCGTACTTACATTATCAAAATAGCAATCATAGCCATCAGGAGAGGCTTTTTTCAAAGTTTCTTCTAAAGATTTTATCGTCTTATAGTTAAAGGCAACATCAAATCCAAGTTTTTTCACGTAGGCAACTTTGTCGTCAGAACCTGCTGCTCCAACTACTTTGCAGCCCTAAATGGGAGGAAAATAGAAACCAATTATAAGTCAAAGGCATGAATCAACATCAACTCCTAGTCTAGTATGGTCAGGTTCTCCAAGAACACACTCTTAGGTACTGAGCCACATATATGAGGAATACCATAGTGAGCCATAAGAGAAAATAGTCCCTGAGCCAACCTACAACCCAGTCACAACTTCAGCTTGACTATCTATTCAGCAGATTCCTTCTACATGTGTTGGTTAGTAGTCTATTTCAACCAACTGGGTGGACAACCTATTCATTTGGCTCCCTTGATTCTTTATTGAAGAAAGAATCATGAAGAAAGGGGACTAACTTGTAGCTAGAGAATGTTCAATAAAAATGATGCAAATAGTTACTGCTTACAAATGCTTACAAATCCACTGCTCTAGATATTTTGAGTTATGGTGTTGGAGAAGAATATTGAAAGTGCCACGGGCTGCCAAAAGAACCAATATATCTGTTTTGGAAGAAGTGCAGCCAGAGTGCTCCTTGGAGGCCAAGATGGCCAAACTTTGTCTCTCATACTTCGGACATATTGTTAGGAGGGACCAGTCGCTGGATGTAAGGTGGAGGGTCAAAGAAAAATAGGAAGACCCCCAATGAGATGGATTGGCCAAGTGGCAACATTGATGGACTCAAACGTGGCAACAGTAGTGAGGTTTGCCCAGGATTGGGCAGTGCTTCGTTCTGCTGTGCATAGGGTCACTATGGGTTGGTACCGACTCGATGGCACCTAATAAGAGAAGATAGAGACCATTCCTGACTTGATACCTGCATTGTTATCAAATAATAATGTACAGGTCATCTTTGCAACACCATTTGCCCCCATTTCTCAATTATTCCCAATCTCCAACTTCTAAATGAGATCCAGTAGACTAAATTGTCATGCCAGGGAAGGTCTGCTGTGTTCACTATTGCCTTCCCCTTGCCATTGTGAGTCTTGAGTCTATGTTTGTTACTAGAGGAAGCCACTTACCTTGAGCTTGGCTAGCTGTCCAACAATAGAGCCCACTGCTCCTGCTGCTGCATTAACCATCACTGTTTCTCCACCTTTCACACCACAGATTTCAAGTAAGCCAAAGTAAGCTGTTAGGCTGAAAGGAAAAAGGACATATGCATAGATTTGTTTCTTTCTCTTCTACCTCATTTATATATACCCCGAAGGCCTTCTTGGAACACCCTCGGTGGTACAAACAATTGACATTCCTTTCTGCTAACCCAAAGGTTGATGGTTAAAGTCCATGTCGAAAGACTGGTGATCTACTTCCAAAAAGTCAGCCATAAAACACCCAATGAAACACAACTCTACTCTGACATGCATGGGGTTACCATGAGTTGAAATCAGTTTAACAGCAACTGATTTTTGGTTTGAAGGACTTCTTAGCAGTCCAGTATCATGGGTCCAGGTAAAAGACAGAAAATACAGGAGATGAATATGGCCAGCTACTATTAGTCTAAGGAGCTCAGGTAGAGTAGTAGTTATGAATTGGGCTGCTAATCTCAAGGTCAGCAGTTTGAAACTACCAGCTGTTCTACAGGACAAAGAGGAGGCCTTCTGCTCCTGTAAAGATTTACAACCTCAGAAACCCTGTACAGGGTCTCTATGAGTCGGAACTGACTCCACAGTACACCACCACCACCACCACTATTGTTCTACTTCTTCCTTCTGTATCTGAGAAAGCAATACAGAAGATATAAATTAGGGAGGAAATGAAGAGTTAGCTGGAAAGGAGTTAAAACCTATCCATCCACAGGCCAAGTATCAGAAAAGAAAGAACATAGATTTCCCTTAGACTTCGGGGATCCAAGAATAGAGGGTTTGTGCTTCGTTCCAAGGTAGTCATAGGGAGATGTGTACTTCATGGATACAGCTTTGTGCCATAACGGTGTCAAAGCTATACAGCAGATATAATGGTATGATGTATTAGGCATGCAAAGGGCCAGAGGAAGAACTTCATTTTCTGTGGTAGTATGAAAGACTTGAAATTCCCCCTATTACTCCAAATGCAGCATCTAAGTTAATTTGCAAGGAAAGAACTACTGGGCCTGCAAGGATGCAGCATGGGCCGTACTGAAGGGGACCAGGTGAAAAGACCACTACACCTCAGTGGATTACCAGCTTGAAAAGGGATGTAGTTAACTTGAAGGGAAACGTAAAACTATGAGCAGGAGACGAGCACATAATATAACCCTATAGATCAAGGTCAAGAAGTTGCTATCCCCTCTCTACTGACACTACCCTTAGACTAGCCCTTGGAGCTTTATATCAACTCTAGAGAGAAGAAAGAGGAATCCTGATTTTAAGCCTGAAATGGCATGAGAAATGACTGGTTTTAACAAGTTTTCTGTTACTACACCAGTCAAAATGAAGGGTTGAGATAGAAATGAAATTCAGCAGCAGAAAAAATATGTTATATTTTTGCCCCTTTGAATCTAAACAAAGAAATTCATACACTCATTTTAGTGATTGTTAAGCCACTTAAAATTTTCAGACAAATTCATGTCAAGCTAATTCTGTATAAAATGGACACAGCACATTGGCCTAATTTTCATTTCCTTGGCCTGTGGTTGTCTTTGGGGACCCGTGAGAGTTGGGCATTAAAAGGAAGGCAGGGAAAGGCACGTGCAGCAAGTTTCCCAAGGACCTAAATATCTAAAGTTACCTTACACAATGATTTTCAAAAGATAGGCAAAAGGCCATCTTACCACAGAATCACCTAAAGTATTTATTAACAATTTAGATTCCCCGAGCCCACCTCAGACCAACTGTTATAGATTGAATTGTATTCCCTAAAAATTCCAAAACATGTGTTGTAAATCCTACTATACCTGTAGTTATAATCCCACTTGGGAGTAAGGTTTTCTTTATTTTCTGAATAAAGCAGTATTGGTATAATGTGTGTCCTGACTCTCTTTTTGAATTATAAAAGGAGCAGATTAATCAAGGACATGAAGCAGCACTGTTTCAGGGAGACAAATGATATGTCACATGAGGATCACCAAGGAGACCAAGGAGCACTAGGCCTCCAGATGTTGAGACAACCTTCACCCAAAGCAGACAGAGAAAAGAATGCCTTCCTCTAGAGCTGACACCCTAAATTTAAACTTCTAGTTTCCTAACCAGTGAGAAGAGCAATTCATTTTAAAGCCACCCACTTGTAGGGTTCCTATTATACACAGCAACATAAATAAGATACCCACTTACTCAGAAATAGTAGGACCTGGAAATCTGAATTTTAATAGGACTCTAGGTGATTCTTATTAATTTTGCAACCGAAAACCACTTTCTTAATGATTGCTGATGCCAGAGTTTCCTGGGCAAGTTAGCCTAACCCTAAAAGAGAGGCAGAGTGTACACCTTCTGATTGTACTATCACAAACAGCACACCTCAACCCCCTTCTAGGTATCTCCAGAATCACCTTTTAATAGGATATATTGATCATATCAACCTTTTTAAAAAATATAATGAAGAAAAGAAGATGGAGAGAACAGCAGTAAAGAAATCTAGAGGAAAAATTAGAGGTACACTTTAGATTAAGGGGAACGTGATAGAAGCAAAGGGTAGAACTCAAAACACAAGGACTGTTCCAATTTAATTAGAGAGAGGTCTTGGTGAAGGAAATGATATAGTGCTTTTGATAGAATGTTACATCTGTGGATCTTGGACGACTGAAAGTCAACCTAGGTTTCAAAGTTCTACTTCTTTATAGTCTGTAATAGAAGACCCAACATTCTTTGGTATTTGGCTCACAATGACAGGAATTTTTTTTAAAGAACTGAGGAATGCTAGAAACAGGCTTGGCATAACTCCTTCCGCTCAATTACTGAGAATGAAGTTGATCTTTAGAGTAAAATTATACTCCCTAAGAGTTTAGAACAGGAGAATAAAAAAGTATACATGAATGAACAAACTAGCTTATGTTTGGGGGAATCAAGACATCTTAATATTTTACAAATTATTTTCTTCTTAAATAAGTCAGGAGACTTACTCTAGTTTTCATCATGTCTGCCTTTACCCCAATTTTCTACACTTGACTCACAATTCTGAGTAAGATAAGTTGGGAGGAAAATCTCTCATCAGTGGAGGGAAGGTATAGGGCAGGCAAGAAAGATTAGGATTTTGTGATTCTGTTGAGTGTCTCCCTAATTGAATGTTGGAGTTTTGGTGTGGCACTGTAGGGTGAGCACTGGATTACTAACCAAAGGTTTGGCAGTTCAAACCCACAAGCAACTCCTTGGAAAACCTAACAGGGTTGCTATGAGTCAGAATCGACTTGATGGCAATTAATAACAGTTGAATGCTAGAAGATATCAAGAATCCTCTAATTTCACAATATTTCTTGGAAGCAGTCATTCTGAGAAGAGTAAAGGGAATGTAAATTTGGAGGGTATGGGAGTGATTTTCGAGGCTGACTGTTTAAAGGTATATATGTCTATTTAATCTTTGGAAGTCTTTTAAAAAGGAAAAAAAGGAAGCTGAAGATAAAGGGTAAGAAGAATAGAAGGAAGAAAAAAAAATGACACAACTTAAAAAAATAAAGGAACAAAATGAATTCTCGTATAGAAAAGTTTTAGGGATTCCAAAAGGCAATGAATGACCTTGCTTCTCCAGGGCACAAAATGAATGGGTCAGGAGTTTCCTGAGGGACAAGGCCAAGAAAAACTTGAGTATTTTAACTCTGTGTCAAGCTGAGTTTACTTTACAACCATTATTTTTGATCCATCTTAATTCTTGACCATAAACTTCATTACCCCTTAGATTGTAAAAACTCGGCTGTGCGTAAAACAATGTGAAGGAGAGTGTTCAGAAAAGCCAAGACAGCTAGAATTCTCATTCTCAGTATAAACTCTGAAGTGGAGTCCGAAAGTTAACTATAGCCCACCCTTCTTAGTCCCACCGTCTACTCCAATCAGCCTGTAGGCCTATAATATCTCAAGTCTTCTCTTGTTGACCAAGTACTGAACACACCATTTTGAAAACTCACAGTGTTAGGTTTTCAAGCAAACAAAATGTACTCATGAAACTCACCCTGTCAGGCCAATGGTCCCCAGAGCCAAAGACAATGGTAATGTGTCTGGCCATTCTGTAGGCAGCTTTTCCAGGTCTTTCCCATCAGAAATGGAGTGTGTTGTCCAGCCTGAAGGAGCCACAACAATAGTTCCTATTGGCAAAGCTGAGTTTTGACTTTCCACAATTCTGAAGGATAAAGAACATTGTTGTTGTTAGGAGTCATTGTCGGTTCCAACTCCCAGCAACCCTATGCAAGAGAAAATGAAACACTGACCAGTATTTTGCCATCCCCACAGTGTCTCCTACACTGGAGTCCATTGTTGCTGCCACTGTGCCAATCTCTCTTGTTGGGGGGTCTACCTCTTTTTTGCTGCCTTCCACACCTGGTGTGGTGCTGTAGGATAAGCACTGGATCGCAAGGTTGGTTTGAACCACAAGCTTGGTGGTTCAAACTCACCAGCCCTTCCTCAGCAACACTATACAGTGTTGCTATGAGTCGGAAATGACTTAATGGCACTTAATAACAACAACTTCTTTAACAAGCATTGTGTTGGTGTTGCTGTGTGCTGTGGAGTTGGTTCCGACTCATAGCAACCCTGTACAGGGTTTCCGAGGCTGTAAATCTTTACGGGAGCAGAAAGCCTCATCTTTCTCCCGCGGAACAGCTGGTAGTTTCGAACTGTTGACCTTGTGGTTCGCAGCTTGATTCGTAACCACTATGCTACCAGAGCTCCTTTTAACAAGCATAAAGAACATTAAAATACAGGAAACTTTTTTGCTTTCAAGGGAGTCAGAATACTTGGCAGTTAGTGTTCACAAAAGAACTGAGGTTGATATTCCAGAATAAAATACACATTTCTCTATCTAAATTCTTAGTCACTAGCAGCATCTCCTGTTTGAGAAGAAATAAGGGACATCAGAGAGGGACTCTCTCAGCTGATCCCTGTCTGTCTCTGTTTTTACCCTCTTCTTTCTGAACAAGAGACATCTGTTCTCTCATTCAGAGTTTTCTGGAAACTAGCTTTTCTTTTTCTGTTCTTCAGCGGTCATCCTTTCTCTCTTAGCCCTTCTCACTCCTTCATCTTTAACATTTTCCTCTCCACTGTCCCTTTTCCTTCAACATCTAAATATGCTCATTTTACCATTTTACAACCCCATCCTCTTCCTACCTTCCCCCCATCTTCCTTTTATATGGAAACTTCCTCACTTCCCATTCACCTGATAACCCACTGCAGTCTGCCTCCAGCTACCAATACTCCACTAAGATTGTTGTTGTGGTTGTTGCTATTGTGCTGTGGAGTCGGTTCCAACTCATAGCGCCCCTGTACAGGGTTCCCAAGGCTGGAAATCTTTACAGGAGCAGAAAGCTTCATCTTTCTCCCGCGGAACAGCTGGTAGTTTTGAACTGCTGACCCTGAGGTTAGCAGCCTGATTCGTAATCACTACGCTACCAGAGCTCCTTCTGCTACAATTACAACCTCCCAATTGCAAATTCTGGTGACCATTCTTCAATCATCTGATCTTACCTTTCTCCTCTAGTCAGTGTTGTTTATCATTCACAACTCTTCCCCCATTAGTTTTCAGGATACTGATCTCTCTTGGCTTTTTGCATCTCTGAGTTTCTCCTCTTGTGTCTCTTTTAATTATTCCCTTCTTCCATCCTTATCATTATATATATGTATTTGTTGTTGTTAAATGCCTTTGAGCCAGTTCCTACTCATAGGATATTTGAGGAGCAGCCGGTGGGTTTGAACTGTTGATCTTGTGGTTCATAGTTCTGTGCTCATCTTACAGTGTCACACCAGGAGTCAAATAATATTTTTAATAGTGTATTAATATATCTTCAAGTTGAATTTCTAATTTTTGCTCATTTTACTGGCATTAATGTTTTTCTATATTTTTATCTATAGGACAAAAACCCACTGCCATCGATGGAGTTGATTTGAACTCAGTAACTTTGAAGGACAGAGCAGAACTACTCCTTTGAGTTTCAAAGGCTGTGTATCTTTATGGGAGCAGACAGCCTCATTATCTTCTTGCAGAGCAGCTGGTGGCTTTGAACTGCTGTTTAACAGCCCAATGCTTTACCCACTGTGCCACCAGGGCTTCTTTCTATAGTCCATAGGAGCTGTAGAATTACAGGGATTACCATCAATCAAAGAACATTCTGCTCCAGAGTCATTCAAAGCCAAGATCTTTGGTTTTGTTCTATGGGTGTCAATGTATGGTCACCTCAGCACAGGGCCTGCTGTTCTCCTGAGTGGCCCTCCATTGAGGGGAACCTTGTTCAGGCTGTCAGGGAAGAACAGTGGGAGTTTCCATCCTGGCTGCTTCTCGAGCCCAGCCCGCCTCCCCTTCTAGGGAAGGAGGTGGAGGCTCCCCCATCCCCACTTCTCTCCCTTTTGCTCTACATTCCCAGGTAAGTCAGTAACCAACGTGGAAACAGTTGTTGTCTCATTCATTTCTAGTCTCAGAGTTTCTGCTTCTAACTGGGCCACCATCACCAAATTCACTTCCCACATTGGCTCATCCTTATCAGGCTGGGAATTTTAATCCTTCAGTAACTTCTGTCGGCCTACAGAAGTTTGGGGCCTTTTCCAGTCTGTAGGCTTCATATTGCTGTTGTTGTTAAGTACCGTATAGTCAGTTCCAATTCATAGTGACACCTGAATAGGGTTTCTGAGAAGCAGCTGGGAGTTTGAACTGCCAACCTTATGGTTCACACCAGGTACACAAACATACATAAGTATATGCATGAGGGGGTATAAAAAGTTCATGGAAAAATTCTATGTTTCCACAAACATTTTGAAGCCTCCTCGCATATGAGTGTGTATATACATACATATATAATCTATTGTAGTTTAATTCTTGTTGAGAATATATACTAACTCACTAATTTCTACATATAATTCAGTGACATTGACTATATTTTTCAAGTTGTATAACTATTTTTCCCTCCTTTTCTGAATTGTTCCTGTCTCAGTAAGCATAAAGTCAGTGCCACTAAAGTTTACTATCTAATCTTTTAAGTTGCTATTGTCCATTTTTACCATTCCTTACTAACATATCATGAGATCATATAACACTTTTATTTATTGCTTACAATGTAAAACATATCAAATGAAAACACCAGTCTTAATACCACAATACAAAAATAACTGCTGTTAACATTTTGGTGCATTTTATGGCAATCATAATGATATATTTAAAAAATATTAATTATACTTAGTTACATAATTTAAATCCATTTGTATAGTTTTATAGCCTAATTTTTCTCTCTAAACATTAGGATAAGCACTGGTCAGCAGTTAACAGCTCCTCAAAACTTAAACTATCTTTTCATTGTGTTTTTGGTGAAACTTTACAAAGAAAATTAGGTTCCCACTTAACAATATTTACAGTTTGTTCAGTGGCATTGGCTACATTTTTTACAATGTGAACTTTCATTATTTCCATTCTGAACATTCTGTTTCCAATAATGTAGTTTCCCTGCGCTTGTCTTTGCTTTTGAGTAAATGCTGACCATTTGGTCTCATATGGAAGACTTTTTTCTAGGAGCACAGTACACACAGATGATATTGTTTATTTTATGAGCCAATCAGTTATTTCACTAAAAGATAACCTCATGGTATATAATGCCATTTTTCAAAAATTATTGATCCTAGTATGTACACTGAACAGCATTTGAAATAGTAGTATGTTAATAATGGTCACCTCTAAAGCTTCAAAGGATGGGGAAAATTTTAGATTCAAGGTAACATTTTCATTTGAACTTTAATAGTAATCGTGAACTGGATGAAGTACCACCTTTTAAGTAATTAAAAGTAAGGATAGCAAAGAGAGACTGAAATAAAGACCGTATCACATTTTCCTCTCCTTGCCAAAAAGTCAGGAAGGTGGCAGGTTTTTCAGTTTGCTTCCAAGATCAAACAGTGAGTCAACTAAGCAGGCTGAAGAAATTGTTAAGCTATGGGCATACAGGGCCCAGCAGGAGAGCCAGGAAGAGACAGGTTTTCCAAACCTTAGGGAAGACGCAAATAACTACCTGGCCACTTGTTGCCCCATCATCGTATCACCTTCCTTCAATTTTCTGGCTGACACTCTGAAAAAAAAAAACCAAAACAAAACCCAACTTTAATACATACTAGTACCTGGGGAAAACTGTCTTGAGTTTAAAGCTAAAAGGGAAATCCTGGGAGAGTGTGAACAGAGAAGAAACATAAATTCAAAGAGCAGTACAGCTGGATCAGATATAGATGGATAGCTGTAAGAGGTAGTTTTTCTCTGTCACCCCAAGGAATCTGATGGTATTCTTAGGATCTCCCTCTAACCAAATTATTTACTAGTAGTGAAATGGGCAGATTGGACTTTGATGTCATTTTCCTTTTAAAATTTCTGGGAACAATTCAGGTGAGCGATACAAGACAAATTCTACCCAGCAGATGGGAGAAAGTTTTTAAATGATAGGTCTAGGGTGCTCCCTCAGGAAGCTTCTCAAGCCTTTTGCCTGATAATGAGGGCAGGGGTGGGGTGGAGGGGATGGCGACAGACCTGATAGTGTTTCAAATCAGTTAGATGTTTTAAAACATGAACAGTTTAAAAAGAGGGTCCAACACACCACACAAGAATTTTCAGGGAGAAAATAATACCTCATATAGGGATCCACACTGAGAAACAAAGCTTCAAGCAGTACCTCTACAAAATAAAGCATTTCACAGTTAATTACAAGCTCAAGGTCTGATGTTTCATTGTGTTTGGCACTCTAAATAAACAGTCTTTCTGGTTCAGGATTGTGCTCTTATCTAAGGGTGGCTTCCAATTTAAGAGGTTCTTTCATGTGGTCCAGCATAGACCTGGTGTGGCGCTGTAGGATAATGCACTGGATCGCAAGGTCGGTTTGAACCATGAGGTTGGTTTGAACAGCAAGGTCAGCAGTTCAAACTCAGTAATGACTCGATGGTACTTAACAACAACAGTTAATGTTAATAACAATAATAGTAATGCTATTTATTCAGCATTTATTTCATACTTTACATGGATTATTTCATTTGATGCTCCCAGCAACTCTATGAAATAGGTTCAATTATTATTTCCATTTTTATCAATGAAGAATTTAAGCTTAGGTTAAATAAATTGCCCAGAGTGAAATTTTGGTATGTTACAATAATTGGTATGTTACAATATTCACATGGGGTTTTATTATCAACCTCAGTGAATAGTAAAGAATATGTACATGTTTTGTTGGAGTGACCTCACGTACACATTCTCTGAAATTTCTAATCTGAGTTTCGGCCCTCATGATTTAGATAGGACTAATAACTTTTCCATGTTACTTGATGGCATCCTCTTCTCTTAACAGGTTACTGGTCTATTGAAACTTCTTATATTCTAATCTATAAAGCTACACGTCATGGGGTGTGTACTATTTCTCTCTTGTCAGTATCTTTAGGTTTATGTTGTCCGAGTTTTTCCTTCTTTGTGTGCTCACAGGAGTCATCTGAGCTCTTTGCACATAGCTGTTGGTCAGTGTGCAGCCAACTGTTACCACCAAGCTCACCAGGAGAGAACGGACACCCTTCCTACACTCTGGTCAAAGCCATGAGGAGTAATGCATCCAAGAAGTTTCTCAATTATCAAGGAAAGCAGAGGAATCCTCTAGTGGGGTATTAGCAAACAGGGCACAGAGGCTTAAAAAGTGCTTGTATACTGGAGCTTGCCAATCCATGAGACTACCATGAAAACAAGCTCAAACTATCTGCCAGAAAGGCTACATAGAGAACTGGGTATTGTGTCTCAGTGGAAAGAGGCTAACCACCAGGCATACGTAGAAAGCCCATTCTAACCAACCATCTAGCCCAGATGAGATTGACAAAGCTGCCCAACCAACAGAATTGTGAAATTGTGAAATGATCGTTGATTGAAGTCACTACGTTTTGGAATAGTTTGCTACAAAGACTGATACACACTTGCTAGAACAAACAAGAAATTTCTTTCCTCAGTTTAGAAGACTAAACGCCTGTGTTCCAAAAGCTGACTCATTCTGGAGGAAGGTCTTTGTCTCTTTCGCTTCTACTCCCTAGTTCCTTGGAGATCTCCATGTATCTTGGCAACTATTTTACCCCATCTCTACTCTGTTCTCTTGCTTAATCTCTTTATATATCAAAAGAGACTGACTCAAGATACACTCTACAGTAATCCTAACTCACTAACATAATGAAGGCAAACTGCTCTCAAATGGGATTATAACCATAGGCATGTTGTTGTTAAACTCCACCTAGTAGTTCCAATTCATAAAGGCTCTCTGTATGGGATATCTGAGGAGTAGCTGGTGGGTTTGAACTGCCGACCTTGTGGTTCAAAGTCCAATGCTGGTTCTATAGTGCCACACCAGGAGACCAACCATAGGCACAGAGGTTAGAATTTACAACACATATTTTGAAGGACAATCCGTCAGAACACTTCCAGTTCTAAGATCTTAGCAGTATGGCTTACCTCCATTTTTCAAGGGTTGAAGTTCAGTTGTCTTCAACTCAAAGTTACTTGTAGTAGGATAACCTTCAAAATGTTTCTTCAGGACCCAACTCTTAGCACAAACCATCTTGAAGCTCCTAGAATACAGAAAGGTACTAACTGTCATGAAGTTTCTGAATTGTATGGTTTCTTAGCCATTGAAAGGTCTCTATAACATTCCTCATCTTTATCACTCAGCATCAGTCACATTTGTTGTTGTTGTTGTTGTTGTTAAGTGCCGTCGAGTCAGTTCCGACCCATAGCGACCCTGAACAGGGTTTCTGAGGCTGTAAATCTTTACGGGAGCAGAAAGCCTCATCTTTCTCTCGCGGAGCAGCTGGTAGTTTCGAACTGCTGACCTTGCGGTTCGCAGCCCAATTCGTAATCACTACGCTACCAGAGCTCCTTTATCTAGCATTTAGTATTTACTATGTATCTATCTGGTGGAGCCCTGATGTGATGCTGTGGGCTAATGCACTGGACTGCAAAGTTGGTTTGAACCACAAGGTCGTGGGTTCAAGCTCACCAGCTGCTCCTTGGAAGCCCTATACAGGGTCGCTATGGGTTGGGACTGACTCGACGGCACTTAACAACAACAAAACAAATATATCTGGTGCTGCACTAAGCATATCATCTAATTTTACCCTCAGAACTTCCCTCATAAATTAGGCATTATTGTCTTAGCCAGTGTACAGGATGAAGCAATTAAGACTTAAATGAAATCTCTAAGGCAAGGAAAAATGTAAAGCAACATAAATTCTTCCCAGCCATCCCTAGGGTTTCTCCAGGATGCTGAGGGAATGCTACGAGGCATGCAAGTATTTCCAGTTTGTTACAGGCAAGTATTTCCAGTTTCTTATCTCACATGAAGCAAATTCTAAGAAAAAAAGTTTCAAAAACAAAGAACAGAAAAGAAGTTCACACCCATTTTTTACAAGATGGATCAGTTAAGTCTAAAGCAAACATTTTCACCAACATCTGAAAACTACTGGGGTGGGGCAGGTGGGAGGGAAAGGGAGTACCTCTGTAACTCCGCCCCATTGTCAGACCCTTCACTCCAAGGGGAAAGGAAGCATTTGTTTGGTGGGGTTTAAATTTAGGGACTGGAGTCCAGGTGTAGTGCTGTGGGTTAATGCGCTGAACTGCAAGGTCGGAAACCCTCTACAGGGTCATATGGGTCGAAACCTACTCGATGGTACTTAACAACAACAATAACCAACTTTACCGGACTAAGGAGCTCTGGTAGCACAATGGTTACAAGTCGGCTACTAACCTCAAGGTCAGCAGTTCAAATCCACCAGCTGCTCCTCGGGAGAAAGATGAGGCTTTCTGCTCCCATAAAGATTTACAGCCTCCGAAACCCTGTACAGAGTCGCTGAGTCTGAGTCGCCACAGCACACCACCAAATTTAAGGACAGAGTCTCTGGGTGGCTCAAAGGGTTAAGCTCTGGGCTAGCCTAAAAACTGGCGGTTGGAACTCACCCACAGGGGCCTCAGAAGCATGGGCGGATTGCCCAATCATTTATTTGTGTTTACTTACTAGTCTGTAGCAAACATTTTCATATGGGTTTCACAAAGGGTGTTCCCTGCGCTTACACTTCGGACTGGGTACTCCATCCCTGTCAGGGATTGATTCTTTGAAAAGGGGTTTTGATTCTGTGGGAAGATGCTGTGAGGTTGGAAGAGACAGATACCAGACATACCTGAAAGCAGAATCTTCTTCAGATGTGGTGAAAAATGTGAAATTGTTCACAACATATTAGCAAGTAAGCACAAGAAAATCTGTGCTTGTCTTGTTTTTAGAGTAATTCGACACTGTTGGGAAGACCAGTCTGGAAGGCAGACGTGACAATCTGCTTCCTAAATCCTTGCAAACCCTAAGAAGCAATTCTAGTCTGCACACTTGGATTTACTTTCCAACTTGTGAGCGAATCCGCTGCAAACAAGTGTTGGAGAAAAGGGGCACTTTTAGCCTGGAAGGGACACTTCCTCGTTGCAAGTGGAGAGCTAACGGGAGGTACAAACGGCAGGCACCTGGCCGTTTCCCCAAAATGGCAACCTCTGCTTGGTCTGAACTCGCCCCAGGTTCAGAAGGTCCCATGGCGAAGGGCAGGCCCTTAGGCTGGCTCACTTCAGGGACAGTCCTAGCGGCCACTAGAAGGGGCCGGGTGCCTGCTGGCTCCCGCCCTCCTTGTCCCTCTCCACTCCTCTCCTTTCCCCAACGATGACCCTACCTTCCTCAACCTTGCACACTTGCCCCGGTCTTGCACCCCCTCAAATTTCATGGCAAGTCCCTTCTCCAGGTACAGATAGCTATGGTGTGTACCCGAAATGCCACCATCGGGGCAGGTCCTTACCTCCAGCATTCACCCTTTCCCGCGCTCTCTCTGATTCCCTTCCAACTTCCTCCGAGCGCAAGACCCGAGCCCAGGTAATTCAGCATTCTAGAAACCCAGAGGGAAGGAAAAACAGGGGCTTGTTGGGGAGAAATATCTACTTACGAGTCCGCAGGTTCCGAAAGCTAGAAAAGGCGTCAGCACTGCACAGTAGAGCTTGTGGGCCCCAATTTATGGCTTGTCCCTGAAGAGGGTGTGGCTTCCTCCCGGGCGGAGCCCCTCTGGAAAGCTTGCGAGTCCGGCCCCACGAGGATCAAAGTCAGGAAACCAGGTATGTCTGATTGTGAGGTGAGTGTATGGAGGAGGGTGTGTGCTTCCGATAGTACCCGCAGTAGAGCCTTGCCCAGGTGCTGTACCGGCACTCCAATTGTCCTCATTGAGAAGAAGCTCAACCTTCAGAGGCTCAAGCTGGGAGAGGCGAAAGGCAGGGTCCAGGAACGCCACAGCCCCGGTCTAGTCCTGGGATCTCCGTAGCTCCGCAGTTTACCTGCACCATCGGATATCATGTTTGTTAAGGTGGAGGGTCAGAGAAAAAGAGGAAGACCCCCAACGAGATAGATTGTCCAAGTGTCAGCATCGATGGACTCAAGCGTGGCAACAGTAGTGAGATTGGCCCAGGATCGGGCAGTGTTTCCTTATGCTGTGCATAAGGTCTCTATGGGTCGGTACCGACTCGATGGCACCTAACAACAATAACATTAGTGCCCGGGCGCTGGCCTCTGCCCACAGAGCCCGGTCTGCCTGAACATCTTTCCAGAGCCAATTCAAGGGTTACTTCTCTTGTTATCCTTCTCATACTCCCTTAGTCCAATCCTGTAATATAAATGTCATGTAACTTGAAACAATTCAACGGTATATTGTTGTTAAGTGCCGCCATCAAGTCGATTCTGACCCATAGGGTTTCCAAGGAGAAAGAAGCTGGTGAGCTTGAACCACTGATCTTGCAGGTCAAATGACTTTGTAGTCTGGTGCATTAGCCCACAGCATCACACCAGGATGTATAACGAACTTAAAAACTTCCCCTTAACCTCTTCTGTGACCCCTTCCTTGAGGCAACCAATGTTAGCAGAGCAGTATCTCGCATATGAACAGCTTTCCATTCTACAGGCAAGATTTCAGAAAGTAAGAATGTTGGGCTAAAAAGTATGGGTGATTTTAAAGTACTAGACTGAATCATATGAAATAATTAATATTCAGACATTTTGACCTAAAGACATGGCAACTTCATAAATTTAGATCAGTTAAACCTAATAAATGTTAGGTTACTTTCCAAAAATATGGCAGCAATTTACATTTACCACCAGGGATGAATGAGAGTTCCTGTTCCCTGTGGTGCTATTGGACTGCTAACTGCAAGGTCGACAGTTCAAACCCACCAGTCACTCAGAAGCCCTCTACAGGGCCACTATAAGTAGGAACTGACTCCACAGCACTTAGCCACCACCACAACAAAGCTGGCATCAGCACTGTGTTATTGTTGTTTTTACCTTTTATAAATGTGATAAGTGCAAATGATCTTATGCACCTCCCCACAACCCTACACTAACTTTTATAAACTCTCTGAAATGACTTTTTTCACACTTGTACCCCTTGCACTTTTGATCCCTGCTCACGAAATGTTATTAAATGAAAAGAGAAAGGAAAAATCCTCAAAGAGAATATTTGAGACTTTGAATTTCTATTAATTTACTGGCAAATCTAATTGAAAGAGAAAAAAGGGTCCAATCTCTAGAGACAGATTTTCACAATTTCTTGCTAGACTGCATCAAACCACCTACCCCTATAACATTAACTGAAACTGGATTGGTATAACCAAACTACCTTGTCACCAATGAGTCCAGAGAAAGCTCTGGAAGTGGGACCTCTTGGCACCGTATATTCAGATATCCACAAGTGCCTGTGAGACGACACCTGTGAGACGACAGCCCTTTCCCACTGAGGTCCAAATTAAATATGAGCAATTGAAGGAAACTCATCACCCTTCACCCACAATCTGAAAAGATGGACAAAGAGATTTTACCAGTCCAACTCCATGGATACAAGACATCCAGTCTCCCTCTTTTTTTTTGTTGTTTATTGGCCTCAGTGGCATTATTCAGAGTCCTGGTGTGTCACTGTAGGATAAGCACTAGATTGCAAGGTTGGTTTGAATAGCAAGGCCGATGGTTCAAACTCACCAGCCACTCCTTGGAAGCCCTATACAAGGTCACTGTGAGTTGGCACCGACTTGACGGCACTTAACAACAATAACAATTACAACATGTTCTTTCTCTCTTAGGGCACAGAGAGTTATAGCTTCCTCTATTCTCTAACAGAAATATTTCAAAGTTACCAAAGTAATAAGCACAATTAAAGGCAGAGAGCAAGGATTAAGATGTCTAAAAATATGCTTGGTATATCCAGTGATAGACCATGCCATTACCCATTCTGCCCTGTATTTTTGCTATATGCAAAAATGGCAAGGAGGGGGCCATGTCTGACTTCCCCTGGCTTTACAAGGGAGAAGGAGACTCAAATTCAACATCAGTCCAAGGCTGATTCCTATGGGACAAAGATCAGACATGCCTCCAATCTTCAGTCTTCTTTGTCCTATCTGACACAAACAATTCCTCCCACAGAACTCTTTTGGGTTCAGTAATCTGGTGCAGTAGCCACACAGAACTCAGACAATACTTACAACTATGGGATTTATTAAG